AAAAAAAAAAAAAAAAAAAAGGCCTCTGCACCAAACTCCAAATGATGTCCCACTCACAACAACAGAGGAAGTTAGCCAAAAATGAGATTGACACTGAAACACCCTTCTGTGAAAGCTCCTTCTCATCCTCTTCTCCTTCTTCCTCTTCACACTCTTCTTCTTTCAATTCCCTTGCAAACCTCCTCACAACACCAACAGTGCAAATCGGATACGATAAACGTCACCATGTTAACCATCGTGACCGTAAACTAAACGGGTCTAGCTGTTTTAGCGCCTACTCTAAGTCGTGGGGAAAGTTGAAGCACGGTTTCGGTTCTTTATCTCACATGGCCGGCCAGAATAACGAATCATCATCGCTTAATGTTCTCACGGCATTCGTAAGATTTTTTCTTTTTCTTCTCATTTGTGAATTATTGTACGCTCTTGATCATTCCGAAGTCTTGTCGAAATTAATGAGACTGTTTATTAGTCGAACAATGTGAAGTTTCCGGTTTACGTTATCAAAATGGCTGTAATTTGGCAGGATTGTGTTATTTAGTACATATTAATACAACATGGTCAAAGATTATGATGTATAAAAGGCAGGTCATATATTGAATCTACACAAGAGTTGGTTTTTTTCTTGCTATTTAAAGTAGAATGGCATTATATATATTTAGATATAAGAAAGATTAATACTTGAGTGGACCATAGCATAGCACGATTTTCGCTTGTCGCACAATAGCGGAATAAATTTACATCCGTCGTGTATTTCCAGAGAAAGAAGAGGGTAACCGGACAGCAGAAGGAGGAACTCGAACGAGAGGTACTAAATTAGACTTGCTATGCATTTCATAAGAGTTGAAAAGGAAAAAAAACTGAAAAACAGGTCTTCATGTCTTCATTAAGGAAATAAACTTCATAAAATGGCAACACTAATGTGAAAATCTGACATTCCCTGTTTGTAAGGTATCTGTGCTTCACAAAATGCTAGCGCATGAACAAAAGGTGCACCAGTATCTCGAGCAGCTCCATGAGCGAAAGGATGGTTCGGCCCTTGCTATTCCAGATTTTCTTCCGCAGAATGTAAGTCCTCCCACAGTTTTCCGATTAAATATCAAACAAACTGTTGATCTCATGTGAGTTTTATAAATCATCTCATAATCTTTTATATGAACATAATCTCATTCTTTACACATCCTTCATTCCATTTAGTTTCTCCGAATTTGTACTCTAATATTCATAGGAATAGAAGCATAATGAAAATATAACGACACGTGCTTAATAGTTGAAGATTATTGTTACAATACCAAGACTATTAATTAAGCTAAACTCGTGCGCCAGATGAAAGACATAGTGAGCGAGCTGGCAATGGTGGAGAATGAGATAACACAACTCGAGAGCCAAATAAAGCAGCTCAAAACCGAAGTGAAACAAGAGAAGGAAGTGAACATGGAGAAAAAATACAAGGAGTGGGGGCGCGGGACTCTAAAGAACCGCCTCGAGTCCTCACCACAGCCACTGCAGCATCCGAACAGGAAAACGAATGAGAAGGTGGTGACATACGAGAGCAAGGCACTGCATTTCATCAATAAGGCCATCAAAGGAGAGTACCACACAACCGACTTCAGCGGATTTTCCAATAATCACAACGAAGAAGGAGGGCGTTTTAGGGACAGGCTCGCAAAAAGAAGCTCCACGCTCAAGTCACCTTCACCGTTTAGGGAATCGAGGCATCCGACCCCCAGGGTATGGAATTTTCGACACTTCAAAGGAAAAAGAAAAAAAAGTATTACTTTTTACTAATGCATGTTATAGTTTTACTTGAGCGAAAATTACAAATTAACAAGTCTTGTGGCCAATCAAAAAACATGAAAAAGAAAAAGTAAAGACAACCTTAATTGAGGTCATAATCGGATCGTATTTTGCACCTTAGTTGAGCATACAAAAAACTGCTGGCATCTCTAATATTCATTAAATATGATATATAGGGGGGCGAAAAGGCTCGTATTCATTCGATAATATGTACTTTCATGGTTTCAGAGAGACCGTAGTCTTGAGGTTCACACTGAGGTCCCGCCTAAGGTCCTCTCGACTCCTTTACATACAGAGGAGGAAAACATTCAAAGATTGTCGCCAAACAAGCTATCTGAGAATATAATGAAGTGTCTTGTTTTCATCTACGTGAGGCTACTCCGAACATCTAGAGTGATGGAGCTCGAGAAATCAGGCCCCGTTGCCCGTTCCATGAACTTTTCCTTGAGTTTCAGGGCTGAGACGAGCTCTACCTCAAAAACAAACCCCATGTTTCAGAAAGATTCACGGCAGCAAGATCCTTACGGTATATTCGACTCGGAGGAGTCTTTACCGAGGGATATTGGGCCTTACAAGAACTTGATCAGGTTTACCTCAAGCTCCATGGACATGAAATGCATTCAGAGCTCAAGCTCGGTCCCTTTGTTTCAGAAGCTGAAGTAAGATATGTCATATATTATATTAGTGTTTGAAATCGAGGTGGCTTTTTTTATTTTTGGTTGGTTTTATTTATTTGGCCAATTGTACAATTCAGGGTGTTAATGGATGGCCTTCAGAAGGTGGATTTGAGGTTCTTGAGTCATCAGCAGAAGCTCGCGTTTTGGATCAACATGTACAATGCTTGTATCATGCATGTAAGCCCTTAATATGTCTACTTGAAAATATTGCAGAATTGCGCATTAACTGCAAAACGAGATGTTTATGTAGTTAAACGACTGCCTTGAAATAGTGAATTTCGCAGCAAGTTTTCACGTCTTCACGCATAGGACCGACTTTTCGATTTATCTATTTTAATTGTAATACAAAAGAGAATCATTGCTATAGATTTTTGTGCATTTCAATTTAGGGATACCTTCAATATGGAGTTCCTTCTGTTTTCAGCCCTGAAAACCTGGTAGCACTCATCAACAAGGTATGCAAACTTGTACATACAAAGCTACAAACAAATATAGATATATCTTATTCATGAATCATGGTATATTTGATTGTAATCAGGCGACTCTCAACATAGCCGGTAACACAATCAACGCTCAAGCCATCGAGCATTTTATCCTCAGGAAACCGAAAGACAAACTAGTCAAAGAGGTACATTTATTTATTTATTTATTTTTTTGGGCATGGTCCCCTTAGCCAATCATGATTTTTAGCTTGATCTGATAATGTGACTTGGCTGCTCAGATTCTGGGCAAAGATGACCGAGACTCTAAGAAAATGATCGTCCATGAACTGTATGGAGTCGAGTCACCTGACCCAAACATCATATTCGCCTTGTGCTGTGGCACTCGTTCTTCTCCAGCAGTAAGTAGCTCAATAAACAACACTCATGAGAACTTATTCAAGATACCACATTAACGTAGTTTTTGTACAAAAATATTTGAAATGTGATTGTTGTTAGAATTCTACTCATTTGATTGCAATACAAAAGAAAAGCAAAAGTTTGCCTTTTTTGACAAACACTCAAATCAGTTTGTCGGTAAAAACAGGTGAAGGTATACACAGCTGATGGCGTGGCAGCGGAGCTAGAGAAGTCGAAACTTGATTACCTGCAGGCAGCAATAATGGTAACAAGCTCGAAAAAAATAGCAGTCCCTGAACTTGTGCTGAAGAACATGAACGATTTTGCAGCCGACAAGGAATCGTTGACCGAGTGGATTTGCCATCAGCTGCCGGCATCGTGCTCTCTCAGAAAATCGATAGTCGATTGTTTCAGGGGCCCACATGCTGCTGGCAAGGCATCATCTGCTATTGTGGACAAAATGCCCTATGAGTTTGAGTTTCAGTATTTACTGCCTACATGATCATCCTTTCAAGTTTCAATTATAGTGTGTAACTATATTTTTTATTTTTTATTTGTTAATTTTTTCTCTACTTTGGTTTAATTCTTTGGTGAAAAAAGGGAGTAGTGCCATAAGATATTATACATATCAATGTATGGAGTCACATTATACTTTAGCATCATTGAAATGAATATATAGCCAGGCAAGCCTTCGATCAACTTTTGTACTTAATTTAATTTGGGCGGACATGTTTTTCAACCCATTATATAACTATTCCTTATTTTTATCAATTAACTTTTTATTTTCACCTTAAAATTCACGACATGATATGCGATATTACAATCTCATATCCAAATACCGCATAATTAATAATATGCAAAAGGTTTCCGCATATTTTGTAAACACATATCCAAATCAACTGCAAACTAACAGAAAAGCGAAGACGTCTACATACTCCCTCAATGAATTGATGAGGGTGACCTAAACGTCTTTCGGGAGATGGCTCCCAACCTTAGTCACCTTCCTGACCTCTTCTTCTAAGAACTAAATCTCCATGAGCTCGTCTTGGGATGAAATTTCGAGCTTTTTGTATTTCTTCTCTTTAGTATAACTCTGTGGCGGATCTGCCTCGTGACTTCTCTTCCGCCCTTGCGCTTCTGCATTCTACAACATCACTTGGTAGCACGACCTAGCTCGCTGCTGGTCTCCTGCCACCTCACTGACCTTGTCCCCAACAGGGAACTTCACCTTCATACAGTAGTAGGTCAATAATTGAAATGTGTTAAGATTGGGACGTTCAACAATGATGCACGCTGAGCTGGTGTCCACTACCAGAAAGTGGACCATCTTGACCTTCATTAGGGGTAGTTGTCCCAACGCTACAAATCGGCGTACCTTTCCTATTGGTGTAACCTCATTGCTGTTGAACTTGTATATGGCCATATTAACTAGTTCGATTTTGATGTTAAGGTTCGTCTACCTTAGTCATTGCAGAAGATGATGTTAAATGAGCTCCCGGTGTCGTTGGACAACTTTTGCACATATAGCTGGCATCCTTGGATGTGATGACCAAGGCGTCATTGTGGGGGTCAAAAATACCCTGCACGTCTTCTGACCCAAACTTCAGAACGACATTGGGCTGCTCTACTTGAACTCGGCGACCTCTTTGCTACGAGAGTCTTTTCCTCGCATTATGGGAGTCCATCAGTGGGACCTTCTGCGTTCATCTGGATCACACCCCTCTTGGGTGGACTCTCTTCAGGCTTCTCAAGTCGTCATCTCATTTTCTGCGCCTTCACGATCTTCCCTCTTTTCTTTATCCCTCAGCACAGACTCCTTGAGATCGAATCATCCTTTCAAATATCATCCTTTTGCTCCCAGCAACTATTGGTACAGTGACCATAATCCCCATGATACCTACCAGTATGGGTCGCTTCAGGAGGGGACATACACTCACTTCTTCAGAATAGGTGTAGGTCGCATGAACATACTCTTATTCCCTCGCTTCTCTAGGACCTCGAACACTTCTTTTTGGAGCGATTCAGGGTGAATATTACCCTTACTTTTAACCTCACCTTACTGTGTTCTTCCATTCTTGAGTTTCAATCTGAAGACATCTTGTCATCCGAGCGAGGCTTCTCCTCAGCTCGCTTAACCTTGGCCTTATCATTCTGCAGAAAGTTAATCTTTGTCTCTTCTATATTGATACACTTTGCGCACCTATACAACAACTCGTCAAGAGACTTGGTTGGCCTCTTCGCCAATGAACTCTGACACGGAGTTGGTTGGAGACCTTTGGTAAGACCTCCTAACCTGGTCTCTTCGAATGCTGGGGGAACCTCTATACACTCCGTATGTATCGGGTCACATATTCTTGGAGAGTCTCTTTATCCCTCTGTTGCATGTTGATCAAAGTCAGGTAGGTCTTCTCTTGCTTCCTCGTGCTCGAGAATATGTTAATAAATTGAAATCTCAACTTCTCAAAGCTACAAATTGTCCCGGCCGGCAGCTGACGAAACCAATCTTGTGTCGAACCCTTCAATGTGGTAAGAAAAGCTTTGCAGCAACTGCATTGTTTTACCGATGAAGCACAACTATATTTTCAAACCTCCTGAGATGTCTACTTGCGTAGGTTGAACCATCATAGAACATATTCAGCTCGCAGAAGTTGTTCGACAGATTGGCCTAAAAAACTCCTCAGCAAATAGATGGTCGTGAATTTGAGGAGCTATCATGCCCTCTACCTGAGGCATGTAGATCGCGAAGCTGGGATGCAAACCTCTCAAGGATAGCATCCCTAGCTGGTCTAGACATTAGTAGTAGGATACGATATCGTCCTTACCTCTACCTTTTCTGCTCTTCTATGAGGTTGTGGATGCGGAGCCACTATATTTTTATGGCCACGTGCCCGAGCATGGGCTGCTGCCTTGGCGATAATTTTGTCGAGCTCCGCTTTGGTGAAATGAATAACTTAATCTTTCCTAGGGGCCTTTTGGCCCATGGGATTTAGTAATTTCTCATCCTCCTGCTGTTGAGGTCAATTGACCCCCGGATCTTGTTGTGTATCGCCTTTCCTCATGACTACCTACCTTTGCACATCTTCCACCCTTGCCCCATATTGAACAACCAATGGCTACTACCTCGCCAGAGTTTTTTCTGACACGTTCAACATCTGGATAAAGGTGGTATGTCGCCTGGCAGTCTCACATTGGGCGTGGCATGCACGCTGGTTTGCTGACCAACCAGGTGGGGGGTCCGAGCCCAAAATAACTCGAGGCACCCATACCTCCACCATATCTTTCGCCAGATTGTTCTTAGAATTATCTCCAGCCATGATCCTTGAACAAAACATATGACAAATTTGGAGAAACAAAGTTAGCTCCTTGTAGCTGGTAAAAGACTAAGTGTTCCCACAGAATGCGCCAATTTGATAAACAAATTGCCTTCAAACCGAACTAAACTGAACCTGAACAGTCTTTCGCCTTTGAGCTACGGTGACCTGTAATATGTCGGGGAGGGTTTGCGACGGAAAAACCTCTGATGCTAAACTCAGTACTCATTCGTGAGAATATTAAAAATTGTATGTTGTAAGCGTACATATGCATTATGTAAAAGTGTAACCTGGTCACCCATTATATACTTGGGTATCTTTTTTCCCAAGTAGATTTCTCACTAGGAAAGAGATCACGTCATATCTACTTTCATAACTTAACACGCCTTTGAAATCCCAAACTCCTTAACGAGATACACTTACAATCCTTAGTAAGATTATGTTCCCTATTATCATACAACTCTTAGGTCCTCAGATCAACCTAGCGGCCTCGCGACCATTCTACCATATACTTTTACCAGGCCTAAGTCGTGACCTATACTCTCACAACCTTCATGAGTTCCTATCATCGGTCTGAGCACATGGAGGCGCTAAGCCCATCACTCTTTATATCGGGTCCAGAGCTGTTTAAGCAAGCTTCCTGACGGATCAAACACTGATATCGAGCTAAAGCTCCCATGGACCGGCCATACCGGAGCTAGCCACCCATGCCGACCCATTGAGTTATTATTGGTGCTATATCACCCAATTTTCTTAGCCACGAGTTGCTCTCTTGTCCTTGTCTCCTTCTCATAGGCTACAATTCATATAAAAAGTAATTATCATAAATAAACACATATTAGAATACTCGCTCTTAGTGGTGTAGGAGCTTCTCCATTGGTGTATGTACTGATGTTGTGCCTAAATCTCTTGCATTTTTTACAACTCATTTGCAATCCAAATTTCTTTAGCTTGGTGAGACTCTTGGCCTCTTCTTCAGGAGCTCTTTTTGTTGTTGTTTTAGCTTTGCCATACATCGTTTGAAATGGAGGCGTCTTGCAATGGCCCCAGATTCTTCATGCCAGATTTTTGTCTCATTCAATGGTTCAAGACAAAAGGAGTAGGCTCTCAAGTACTTTTCTACACCGTAAAGGGGCTAACAAAGTCCACTATATCCCTCTTCATGTAATGAGTTGCAGAACAAGCATGGATGTATTGCATACTAGATGTATCCCAACTTCTATAACTAGAAGTCATGCTCATCAAATCAATTAAAAAACGATCATCGATTAGAAACTTAAAATTTTTCACCCACTACAAGTTTGTTCACACACAACCCACCATTCAACTTAGTTTCCTTAATTCCTTCATTCTATTAAATATTAGGTCTATTACTCCACTACATAACATTAGTTTCTGATGGACTTTCCATGACATAGTTTTAATAATCTCAAGCATGCCAATAATAGGTTTTTTCCTTGCCTTGATTATGGTAATGTTGAAGGTTTTCGTAGACATTATTAAGTACCATATCACATTTGGAGTCTCAAAAATAAAAGCTTTACAGAACCTGAAAGTTTATTTCTCAATAAAATCCTTGTATGCTTATTATCCTATATTTGCTTATCATCAAGCGACTCATTATAGGTTGTCTTGTATGTGTTATACACTACTCTCCAGTAAATGCTCTTTGTGTTGTACTCTTTTTTTTTTAAGTTTTCTTCTAATTCATGTACACATGTTGTGCATAGTTTCAATGTTCTGCATGAGTAGTAACTCGTACCATGGGAGGAAACTTCGTGCAGAATTCGATTACTATTAATGGGTGGCTCTGTGATTTCTTATGAACACAGGAATCCCAGGTAATTCGGTCTTAGGTTCTTCATTATTTGCATATGGACATTTTTTTTTCCCTAAGCGCTTATTTTGTGTAGGCTTTTAATTTATTGTTTCTATTTAACGGACGAGGATAACAACAATGAGTCCCTACATAATGAGTTCAAAACAAAACACATTTTAGAGACAATAGTAATTTACAAAATATGCAACCTAAATGTTTGTAAACACATTTCGGAAGCAATATTTTGTTATTCACTGATAAATTTCCATCCAAGTATATATATCTCTAAATCTTAAGAAAAATATCTCTAGAAACCACTTGCAATTGTTCTTATTATCTAAATCCACAAAGGCACATGCCAAAGAGAATATT